TCTCAGACTCAAAGGGATGACAGAAACATGTACACAGTACAGGTTGTTTGAAAAAAAGGGGGGATTAGGAATGGATGGAATGTACGTATTTATCTATGTATGGATGGATGAATGGTATGTATGGATGGATGAGTAGTATGGATGGATGTACGCATGTATGTATGGTATGGATGGATGGATGAATAGTATGTATGTATGTATGCATGTATGTATGGATGGATGAATAGTATGGATGGATGGATGAATAGTATGGATGAATGTATGGATGTATGTATGTATGCATGCATGGATGTATGTATGTATGGATGAATGAATAGGATGGATGGATGGATGAATAGTATGGATGGATGGATGCATGTATGTATGTATGTATGGATGGATGAATAGTATGGATGGATGGATGGATGAATAGTATGGATGGATGTACATTAGTATGTATGTTTGTATGGATGGATGGACAGATGTATGGATGGATGGATGAATAGTATGGATGGATGGATGTATTTATGTATGGATGGATGGATGAATAGTATGGATGGATGTACGTATGTATGTTTGTATGGATGGATGAATAGGATGGATGGATGGATGGATGGAGAGGGAGGCAGAGGGGAGAAGAGGTGGGAGGAGTGAGGGCAGAGCAAAGAATAAAGGAGTCTTTACATGTCTGTGGAACCAGCAGCTCGCAGCACTTTCACATAATTTAAGACATATGGACGTTATTAGGACAGCTGTGTAAGAGTCTGTGTGTGTGTGTGTGTGTGTGTGTGTGTGTGTGTGTGTGTGTGTGTGTGTGTGTGTGTGGGTGTGTTGCAGACAGTCACGTATTTGTGGTGCAGCAGAACTGTTGCGCTGAACAATCCCCCTCGCTCCACATCTCCTCCCCCTGGAGTGGAACCTGGATCATCCCAGGGTGACACGGCATAAAAACTTCATTTGATTGGCAGCTAGGTTACGTTGCTGTGTGTGTGTGTGTCTCTCTCTCTGTGAGTGTGTGTGTGTCTCTCTCTCTCTCTGAGTGTGTGTGTGTGTGTGTGTGTGTGTGTGTGCATGACCTGTAGTTACCTTTCAGCCTGCAACACTCTGACTGACCGGTCCTACAGTAGCTCAGTCTTTCTGCTCCACGTCTATTTATGTCAGAGTGTGTGTGTTTCCGTGTGTGTGTGTGTGTGTGTGTGTGTGTGTTTCCATGTGTGTGTGTGTATGTGTGTGTGTGTGCAAGAACGGGCAAAGTGCTCAGCCTAATTGAGCAATTATGAATAATCCTCTACAGACGAGTTAAATGCCTAAATTCACAACGTTACACAACCTCCTTTGGTTCAACCAGAATTTATGTCTAATCACCTTTCAATGTGGACTCCTTTGTGTGTCTCTGGGTGTGTGTGTGTGCGTGTGTGTGTGTGTCTCTGGGAGTGTGTGTGTGTGTGTGTGTTAACGCAGTCTGTTTCTTATTTTTTTAACATATTTGTCTATTTAACAGAGTCAAAGCATAGAAATCCACTAATTACTAAGCTGCTGGCTTCGTCTTATTCTTCTGTTTGCGTCATGATTTTTGGTTCGTTGATCTTTCCACGGTCCTGAAGGAACCCAGTCCAATTAAAGGACTAGCCTTCCCTTGAAGGAACGCATGTCGCCCACCACTTTTCATGTCAGAGCTTTAGACTGATCTTTTGTTGCAAAACGACAAAGCTGTAGTTGTTTTTGTCGAGTCTTGCGAGTACTTCTATGCGTATTCTCACGGTCGATGTGAAGGCTTGTATGTAGCGGTTTTCTAGACCGCTCAAAGCACTTTTACTTTGGACGCCACGTTCTCGCACCAGTGCACAGATCAGGATTAACTTGACATTTAGGTCTTGCCCAAAGATTTGTCGACAGGAATTCGTAACAGAACCACCGTCGGTCCAATTGGCGGCAAACTCCTCTTTCGTTCTGATCCACGGACAACCCCAAATGTATCGTGAGTCGTAACTTTCAGTGTGCATGTTGTAATTGACAGTCAGAGATAAGGTTTCAGTCAATTTTCCCGACTTGTAGACGTTTTTGCGTTGGCTTTGTCAATCAGCTGTGGTGGCCATCTTAAACTGGGCTGACTCTAAAAGGTATCAGTTGTAGACTGAAGTCTGATGATGAAGATCTGTCCCGTGGTTAATAAGCTGTTTTACACATATTCAGCTAAAATGTAATGTGGTAGTAGCTGCTTAAACTATGGCATGAAAAGTATGAAAGGTGGTAGACGATACGCATTCCTTTGAGAAATTCTACGCATTCAATTTCATGAAGTTTTGCTCAAATCCATTTTTTGGTTTCTGAACATAAAATAAAACAGAAGTGGTCAGGTGCATACATTAACTGGTGTTCCCTCCGAGTTAAAACAAATTCCAGCTACCTTTTTAGAAAACGAGTCAAAAGTTGGATACACAGGATTTTTATAAATTTTAATTTCTTTTACCGATCTGAGAGCATTTCTCACTGGAATGTAAAATATGTTGCCCGATCAGTCTTGAGCTGAAACCACAAGAAGAGGAGTCCAAAAGGATGATGTCGACGTGTTCCATCCAGCGGTTGTTGGACAAAAAAAATCTGGAATGAAATCCAAACATTTATAGCTTGCGACTTCCAGATGAACTAAAGTCATGACGGTTAGGGTTCTGCCTCAGGTGATCCGCTCTAACCTCTCCAATGCACGCAACGTTTATACGCGTATTCATGGACGTAACTCACTCGTGCAGCGAGGCTCAGCAGACGTTTATCATGAGGGCAGCAGAGGGATGGATGAAGGGTTCAGGGGAACGAGAAGACAGAAAGAGAAAATTAAAGGGCACCAGAAAAGAAAGAAAACGAGGAAGAACAAAATAAGGGAGGATGAGCACCCAACAGATGGTTTGGTGGCTGAAGAGTCGACCTCAAGAACCACGCGATCCCTCGCTGGTCTGGGATACAATCCCAGTGGAAGCTCTGTTCTTTCCATTCAACTTCTATTTGGACTCAAGGAACAGCAGAACCTCGCTCTCATCGGAAATATGATTTGTATGTCAACTCCGTATCGGTACATGTGACTGGTATAGCAACCGTTTTCTCTGTGCAAGACTTGAATGTTCAGTGCCAAAAGACCAGGGTGTTTTTTTGTGAATCTTTTACCATCGAATGACGGAACAATCCTCACCTGATGCTTAGACACCGTGTACATCACAATGGATGCTGCACGGCAGTCATTGTGTTAATGTGGTGCAACGTAAAGCCATATAAGGTATATCGGATTGAGAGCGACAGCTATGGCAGTACTGTTCAGTGAAAATGTCTTGACTGGTATTATCAAGACATCATTAGTTATAAGCCATCCATCCATCCAGTCTAACATGCATGTTTTAAGTCTGTGGGAGGAAACCAGAGTACCCGGCGAAAACCCATGCATGCACGGAGAGAACATGCAAACTCCACCCAGAAAAGTCCTGGGCCGGAATTTGAACCGGCAACCTTCTCGCTGGGAGGCAACAACTCTACCAACTGAGTCACTGTGCCGCCCTAATGTCCAAAAAGCTGTTTGCTTGTGATGCGTCTGGAAATCGAAGACATTGTTCCTCCGCAGCACCAATGTAAAAGCTTCTGTACAGATTTGAGACACGGTGAGAAGATCCCGTATCCCGAGCTGTGGAGAATAAAAGCACATCAACCAGCCTGGATGCAAAGAAGCAAAGGTGGGGCTGGTTAGGAGATACTCTGTGCTGATGTCACAAAACAAGCAGAGCACGCAGAGAAAGAAAGAAGTTGGAAGGCCAAAGCAGACCTGGATCAGTTGAGAGAGAAGCAAATGAAGCCAGACTGACGTGGTGAATAACCAAATAACTAAACGATTGTATAACAGAATTGAGCAGCTTCAAGATTTTAGAGATTTTATTTTTGGATAGCGGCAATCCACTTTGGTCTTGGTCCTGCTTGGACTGTTTGTCATTCCAGTCAGAAAGAGCAACGGGGAGATGTTGGTTACAGAAACCCACTTCTTAATTATCAGTTTTCATGTTTGGTAGTAAGATATACAACATACACTACGCCGCGAAAAGAAGAACTGAGATTTGGGTATCGGAGAGCATGAAGTCTCTCTCTTCCAGGGATCAGATCTGCACGTGACTCCTGAGTGAACCCACATCGAATGTGATCCTCTCAGAGGGAGCTGATGGGCTCGATTGGCCACTAATCATTACGCAGAATGTCCAACATAAAAATGTGCCTGTTCAGACGTTCCAGTCTTGTTTCATTGAGCAGAAAATGCAAACCAGGTGTGGCAGTCACCGAGATCGCACTGCGACTCCTGATTGAATAAAACCTTGCGATGGAAAATCTGTGGGACTCGAGGCGGAGGAACCAGAAAACCCCTCGAACTGAACGCAGCACTGTTTTCAGACTTGTGTTAAAAAACCGGAGCCAACAAGCAGCACCTTTATGTTCCGTCTCCTACGGCTCTGAGGAGTTAGATACGTGAAAATATTATTCATCCAAATACAGATCAGTTCTAGCAGCTTTACTACAAAAGCTATATTTGTGTTCCTCTACTTCTAAATCATGTCAGGGCAGTTTTGGAGGTTAAATCTGAAGGAATGTTATTTGTTCAAACAGCTCCGACAACTGGTGACTGATTCATACAGAAAAAAAACCTACAAGCAGCCAGGAAAGTCTTTAAATGTGCCCCCTTCTCTTTTCTCTTTAGCTTGTCTTTCTGGTTCTGCTGACTGGGGGGAAAACCTCCCCAATGTATACGTCTCTGTAAGGAAGGGGGAAGAATCGGGGGATAAACAGGAATATGGCATAGAATTAAATGCACGGTGCTTGCCACTTTTTACGCCAGAGTTTTAAACCAAGATCACCGTTTTGGATGCAATTAGCTTTGATCCAAACAAATCTCAGATTAAATATTAATTTATACATTTGATCAAACATGCGATGGATTTTTATCCACCTGGAGTAATTTAAATAACGATCATGTGCCTCTCTTTCTGTCTCTGCAGGTTTTTGCCAAAGTGTTCAGCCATGAGGCCTTGGAGTCGTACCTCCCCAAGATCCAGCAGGCCATCCAGGAAAACCTCAGAGTCTGGAGCTCCAACCCAGAGCCCATCAACGTCTACAGGTACAGCGATGGTGCACACATTCACACCATCTATCAAAATCTAAAGATTTACCACATTTCGCCGCTTGCTCCTGTCAAGGGCGGATGCTTTCCCTCCTCTCCCTCCTCCGCTTTGCTCTGTCCTGTCTGTGAAACTGCTTCAGAGCCTCTCTCTACATGTCTTCCAAACCGTAAATTTTTGCAATGGATCTGGTCAGTTGGTCTCTCAATGCAATTGATAAAATTTTCTCAACAAGAAGACGAGCTTCAGGCAAGCCGACTTTTCTCGACGAGAAGACAAGTGCCAAGGATGCATAAACAACTGGATAACTGTGATAACTGGTTTCCTGCTTTTTGGAATCGGCTGATTCCTGGTCTGTCAACAAACAAGGAAGTCGTCAGCAGCAAATTTGGCCCTGGTCAGACTACCTGCATCTGGACTTTGTAATTTGGACTTTGGGGATTCTAGAGGACCAGCGAAGACTCAAGGCAGACATGAATCGGTAATTCTGCCTGTTCCCAAAACATTTGTTGCTTCCCACTCCCTTCCCCTCCCACCAAGGAAGTCTGCGGACCTACGTATCAGAGGGACCCGGCTAGATAAACATTGTGTCATCATTTCAGGGCTCTCAGATTCTCTCTGGCGCTGTTCCAGGTCGACCTCAGCACAAGTGTGTTTATGGATCTCACCAGAGAGAACTGACTTGATTGTACCATTCTTATCAGAACTCCTACAGTACCTCTGGAGTGTCCAAGACATGATCACCACTCTTGTCGTCTCCCCTCCCCTGCGAAATGTCTACGTCACTGTGCCTATGTGCAGGGTGTTTTTTTCAATATCAGGGTCTTTCTCTTTGGTCAAGGAGAAAGAGTTTGATAGGAATTTGTTTTGCCTCCAAATCCTAAACGTGTCATTTTCATTACTTTTTGTCCGTCTAAACAGATCTCACTTGTAAATGAGTCTTCGAGGCTCAATGTGATTTATCTTTCTAAATAAAGGTTGAATGAATGAATGAAAAAAGATAAAAGTTCGGTCTACTTTTGATTCTTCTTGAGGGATTTTTGTTGAGTTTGGCTCTAACCGACCGGATGCCATTTCACAGGGAGAGCCAAAGGTTGTCGTTCACCATGGCTGTGAGGGTGCTGCTGGGCTTCAGGGTGTCCGAGGAGGAAATGAGGCATCTGTTCTCAACCTTTCAGGATTTCGTAAACAACCTCTTCAGCCTGCCTATCGACCTGCCGTTCAGTGGCTTCAGGAAGGTAAGTGTTCAGATCAGAGATTTGACTTTTCTGTGAAGTTCCAGCATAGATGCTATCCGCCGTTGTACGTCAGGACAAAGCAATAATATGTCTGGTTTTTCTGTACCAACAAAAAAATCTCAGATTTCAATAAAATTTTCAGAAATTAATCGATAGATGTACATTTACAACTTCTGGAGTCAACTCAATTCAAGTAAATTCACCCTAGCAAACACAACAATGGTTTTATCCCAATGAACTCAACAGATATTGAGCTCAAACTTAGGATGGTAGTAGCTGACGGTCATTCACAACATGGACTCCAAGAGCTAACGGATCATGTGAGATCTCACATCACATTAGACTGGAAATACCATTTTAATCATCTCCATCATCTCCGTCTTAACTGTGGTTGGGTCACGGAAACAACAGGTCCAGGAAAGAAACCCAGACCTCCCTCTCCCCAGAGACACACTCCAGCTCCTCCTGGGGGACCCTGAGGTGTTTCCAATCCATAGAGGATACATAATCCCTCCAGCAAGTCTGCCACAGTGCTTCCTCACAGTCGGACAGGCCCAAAAAACATCCAAAGCAAGGAATCCAGGAGGCATCATAATCGGATGCCCAAACCACCCCCAACCTCCATTAGACTCCTTTTGATGTGAAGGAGCAGCAGCTCCACCAGATGATGGAGCTCCTCACCCTCTCTCTAAGGCTGAGACCGGCCACCCTGCAAAGGAGGCTAATTTTGGCTGCTTGGGATTGGAGTACAACTTTTTCAGAGGTATTCCCAAATGACCTTTGTATTAATGAGTAATGCTTCGAAATAAGACAGTCCATTAAAAAAAACATTCAAATGTGTCCAAACTAATTAATTGTGACGTACCTCAAGGCTCCATCTTTGGCTCCGTTCTCTTCTTGTTTTGTATGGTCTTGTTCTTTCAGTCATAATCCAAACCTCATGACCAGAGGTGAGGGTTTGAATGTACAAAACAATAAATCCAAGAGTTCTGCCTTTTGACTCACCTCTCGTCTTCACACTGGCTGACCAAATCGACACTCTCATTACTGAGGACAAGGCCTCGATCCTTCGATTCATCTCCTTACCATCACTCCCAAATGAGACACCTGGATTGAACTCTTGAACTCCTCCACCTTTGGCATTTAGCTCGCAGTTTGACAACTCCGTCATATCTCACAATAAGAAGATCTTGTTCTAAAAGTCAGACATGATCGGCAGTGCAATGCTTTTAAAGTTTGTATTTATATTTCAGAAAGGCTCAAAGTGAGCAAATTAACCCTAAACTCACATAATGTGTCACTAACTTGAGCTGGAACCTTGTTTTAAGTGATAGTTCAGATCTTTTGACATAAAGGTGAACCATTGCTTTAAGTTTAATACATTTAGTATCTGAATGCATGATAACATAGTTTGTTTGTAAGAGCTCATGTTGCAGATAAGTTGGCTGCCTTAGATGATTAATGTTCTACATGTTTGTAGGGTATCCGCGCTCGAGACATCCTTCAGAAAAGCATAGAAAAAGCCATCCGGGAGAAGCCGCAGTGTTCACAGGGGAAGGACTACAGCGACGCTCTGGACGTCCTGATGGAGAGCGCCAAAGAGAACGGCGCTGAGCTCACCATGCAGGAGCTCAAGGTAATACACCTACTGCACATACACATAGAAAAAAAAAACAGGAGGAGGACAGGGTGTGCACGCACACTTTTGCCCGAGGCCAGACATGCAAGAATCCACTCAATCAGATGAAGGATTAAGCAAATAAACACAAAAACTGGATATGAAGGGATGCTAATTTGATGTCTAGAGGCAAACACTTAAAAAAAAAAAAAAAACGGTCAGGAACAGGCACACCCTCTATTTACCTATTTGAGGAATTCTGTGGAAACTAAACTGCTTCTCCCTGGCTCTTTGTGGTTTCTGGGTGAACTCCAGAGCCAAAAATAAGTCAACACTGCCCCTGCTAGGGGTCTGAATGAGGTCTGCTGTAGACACATACAACCTGAACTGGGGAGGCCCTGTCGTAGAGGCCCAGGCTTTCCCCTTCAGCCCTTTGACGTATATAAAACACACTCGGGCTGGGTGAAGCACCGACGGATGATGGCAGAGAGGTTTACAATGTGAGGCACGCTGCCTGGTCTCTGTTATTTATTCCACGGTCTTTAAGGAGCAGCGTGGCACCGTTCAGTGTTGTTACTGGACACACGCCTCCTGCTTTCATACACGTTACTTTCTAAGATTTGGAAACAAACTGGTTTTATTTTGTACCAGTGTTAGTACCTGGGTAAAGAAACTCTTTACTACCACTGAAATGACAGCCGTCTCTATGGTAGGGCATTACAGTTCACCCTCTGTCGGCTCTAGAGATTTACGTATCGGGACAAAATTAAAATGATCTGGTCTGTACCAGATTCTACAGGTACTCATCTCCAACCTCAAGTGAACCAAATCACAACAGATTCCACCACAATTCTATTTATTAAAAACAACGCCACAATGTAAACTAAGTCCATTCTTGCTGCTTTCAAAGCATTTAAGGGAAAGTATCAGTGATTGTTGGGATTTTCTCAAAATTTCATATTTCATTAAACGATTGCAATAAATAATTGACAAAACAGAAAAAAATGTACCAACGTTTGTCCTCTTCTTGTCACAGGAATCAACCATCGAGCTGATCTTTGCCGCATTTGCCACCACCTCCAGCGCAAGTACCTCCCTGATCATGGCGCTCCTCCGCTACCCCCACGTTCTGGAGCGCCTCAGGGAGGAGCTCAGATCCAGGGGCCTCCTCCACAATGGCTGCCTCTGCCCAGAAGGCGAGCTGAGGCTGGACACCATCATCAGCCTTAAGTACCTGGACTGTGTCATCAAGGAGGTGCTGAGACTCTATACACCCGTCTCTGGGGCGTACCGAACAGCCATGCAGACCTTCGAACTAGATGTGAGTCTTCGGCTTCTTCCCCATCAGCTACGTAGACTTTGTGTAAAGTTTGGGATTGGAGTACAACTTTTTCAGCAGTACTCCCAAATGACCTTTGTTTTACTGAAAAGAGTAATTCTTCGCAATAAGACCGTCCATTTAAGAAAACATTCAAATGTGTCCAAACTGATTAATTGTGGAGTACCTCAAGGCTCCATTTTTGGCTCCATTCTCTTCTCGTTTTGTATGGTCAGTTAATGAATCAAAAACATTTTTAAAAAAACCCTCAACTTATAGAAATGTTTTTGCCCTTTGTAACTAAATAAGGATTAATTTCAAACACTAAAAATACACAATTGTGACATTGTTTTTCCAATCTTATAGGAAGTAAATCTGTCAACTCCACACAGTTCCAGTTGTGTTACCGTTTAGTCAGCATTCACAAATGTAAAAACATTTCAGCATACTTTTAGCTATTGTAGTCATTCATATATCAAAATGCTAAACGTGTACAGGACAGTATAACCATGACTTTTGGTTTTGCAGCATATATTTTTTTAATATTCATTTTTATTAATTTTTTCCTTCATTGAAATAAATGAGAAACAATGGACTCTGAGCTTTTTCTATATACTATTACATTTAGTTACTCTTGCCAGTGTTAAATTTTAGCTACTGTTTTACCAATTTTAACTACTGTTTTGCTAAATTTACTTCTTTCCAGATCTTTTTTTTTAACTAACTCAGTTTCTTCAATAAATTTCAGCAAACTTTTCATTTAGCAGTCTGCCGTTTAGCAAATTATTTTACATTTCATTTTGTTTGTTTGCTTGCAGGGAGTCCAGATCCCAAAAGGCTGGAGTGTGATGTACAGCATTCGGGACACTCACGACACAGCCGCCGTCTTCAAAGATGTGGAAGCCTTCGATCCCGATCGCTTCAGTCAGGAGCGAAGCGAGGACAAAGAGGGGCGTTTTCACTACCTGCCCTTCGGCGGTGGCGTCAGATCGTGTTTAGGAAAGCAGCTCGCCACCCTTTTCCTTCGCCTCCTGGCCATCGAGCTGGCCAGCACCAGCCGCTTCGAGCTGGCTACTCGGCAGTTCCCTCGTATAACCACGGTTCCCGTGGTTCACCCCGTCGATGGGTTAAAGGTCAAGTTCTATGGCCTGGACTCCAACCAGAACGAGATCATGGCCAAATCTGAAGAGTTGCTGGGTGCAACAGTTTGAGAGGGGGAGGCGTTCGTAAGTGGAAGATTTAAAGAAGGAAAAATTCATCTCAATGGGTTTTTCTTTCTTCTTCACTTTGTCTTGCCAAGTTGGAGCTTCTGTTCAGACTTGAAGTCCACATCTCGTTACAGCCGATGGTCGTGACTTGCCTGTAAGAATGGACAAAACTGCCAAAAAAGTTCTTTATGCTCTATTCTGTGTATTTTCTGAAGGAATATACAAGCAAAATATGTACATAAAGCTACCTAATATAATTTTAACAAGAGTAGTGCACAAGAGACTTTTGGTGAAATAAAGCGTTGAGAAGTAAAGGCGTTGTGGAAATGGGGTGAGATGAAACAGGGTAGAGGATGAAAATATATTTTAACGTTCTTCTCGTTCTTAATCAAAATCTGCGAACCTTAGTAGTTGCCTCACAGGCAGCTGGACGCTTGAACTGAAGTTCGTGGCTGCTCTGTCGTTGGAACCAGATTTTAACTCAAAACTTTGGGCTATTTCATGAAATCCTTTTTTATGTTAGGAAATAGAGCTTAAAGGTTTAGGAACTTTGGTATTTCTAACACATTTCCACCATTTTGTTGAACCTTATTGTTTGTGATGCCCTGATAATAAACAGACTTTTACAATTTACAGCTAAAAAACTCTAGGAAAGTCAGTTGCTGGTTGTATCTAGCTGTATCACGACGCAGTAAATACTTTCAGCCGGTTGTATCAATGCAGATAATGAAGACAGTTTGTCTCGGAAATGAGGGATGCAGTTTGGATCAAGAAAATGTGCTAAAAGGATATTTAGAAATGAAGTGATTGAGACAGAAGTCACTTTTAATAACCTTGTCTTGTAGCAAACCTTAGGTTTAGGAAACACCGTGGATGGTTAGATGGGTATAGAAATTCATCATGGATTGGATATGTTGGAAAATTAAACCAGTTTAGGAATTTGAACGTTTTTCGGAATGTTAACAACAAGACTGTAGTACGGAGAAGTGATTGTGAAACATTATTTTGCGATGTCTGGTTGCCCTGATAAAACAAACTATTGCACAGTTAGTGAAAGAACGAGGTAAATAGGAAGGAAGATGCATTTCTGGGAGAATGCAACCTGAACTTGATAATATTTCGAAGGCCTTAACACAATAAAACTACATTTTTGATAACCAGATTTCAAATCACAAGTCCTTTTCTGACACGTTCTACCTTAAACTATTTGTTGTTTTTTTTCCTGCGGGCTCACGTGTTGCCTTTAAGCATCAACTTGAATGTTCCACTTTTATGACGTAACCTAATGATGCAGTTAGTTCGTAAACTCAGGTAAAAATAATACGTATTCTAGAATGAGCGAGCCTCTTCTTTTTGGTATTTGTCTGACTGCAAGATAAAATCTCTAACTCATTGTGATCCTTCAACATATAAACCAGTTACTTTACAAAATATTTTGTTTTCAACTAATGTTTTGGATTTATTTATGGTTGTCCAACTGAATCCTGGTCAAATCTACTAAGGTCCATCTCTGCATTGTCAGTCTCTTGGATTCATAAACAACACAACCATTTTAAGAATATAGTTTCTTGAATTATTAAGGTATCTAATAAAGAACTTGTTCTCATGAAGTGGTGCAACTTGGTGGACTGAAGTAAGAGACCGAGGGCTACCGGGAACGTAAAGACCTATATATACATGCTGCTTGAGTGCTGTCTTGTCTTCCTGTTTGGTTTCATTTGTGAACTTTTGTTTCTCCGACTCCTCGGGGGGCAGTGATGTAGAGTTCGTGTTGATCTGTCTCGCTGCGCTATCGTTCAACAATAAGATGGACTCCACAGTTCGATCAAAGTAAAGAGAACAGTTGGTTCAGAAATCTGGGAAACTTCTGCCATGGAATACTGGAACTTGCCAACAGAACCTTGGACAATTTTAGAACCATGCGGGTTTTGAATTCTGAGCTCCAAAGGTCTCAGAGATGAAGGACTTATCAGGTTTCAGGGCGGGGAAAAAAAGGCGGGAAAAAAAGGCGGGAAACATGCTCGCTGATCTTTTCTTTTTGACTGATCCTGTTCTCTGAAAGCTTTCCAGTTGGACTTCACCTGGGACGCCTGTTTTTATTTTTTGTTTTTTTTTACTGACAACACCACTGATTTTCTTTTTCTCCACATTATAAATATATGAAAGAAAAAAAACTTTTGCTGCTTTTCTTGTACATGTTCACAAAATGAGAGTTCTAGATTGCAATAGTTTGCATCGAGTGAAACTTGTCTTTTTATTAAAACTGTTTTTTGTTTTTTTTAAGCGGAGAGCATAAATAGGTCATAGTGTGTATTTGTATAATATTATTTTACAAAGTATGGAAGAAAATTAGCTATTTACAAGAACTAATAACCTATTATTAATGTTATTGTATGATTAATATTGTTATAAAATATTTGAAATGCTATTTTTTATCTTATTACAGATTTTAGAGGTTTTAGCCAACAACCAGAAGGTCTTTGGTAAATATTGGATGTATTTAGAATAATCTTAATCTATATTGTACACATTGTTTAAAATGTCAATATTGTTGATTTGATTTTTGTAATTATTTCTTTTTTGTTGTTGTTACCTAGACTTATTATCACTGCATTTTATTTGTCATTGAACATGGAAAACAAAAAGCACTCGTCAGATATGTTTATTTTTTAAGTGCCATGTGACTACACGTCCCCTTTCTTTCACCTGTTGGTTTATGAATCTGTCTTACGTCATTCTGTACATATTTGTAATTCTTTTTGCAGGAAAAAATGCTTTAGTTTAAATATGAATGTCTTGATAGTTTCTCCCTTCCTTTTTGTTTTTGTTACCAAGATTGTTCTGTGTACTCTTGTAATAAACTATATAAATATAAGATGCCTGAACTAACTGTACTTCTTCATTTAAATGGATAAAGAAGAAAACAAATTATAATAATTAGATTGCAATTTAAATAAAAAGTATTTCATGTTTTGCTGGCAGAATTTTTGATAAGCAACAGTTAAGTAGTTTGTTTTGTCAACTGAACATAAATTTCAACAAATACATTTCCTTCCTAAATGTAGCACCATTTAAGTTGAAACAAACCTATTTTCTAACAGTTTAACATTCATTGCCATGAATCATTTTTAAAGAAATAATCAACTAAACAAATTTACTTGCTATGTCAACCGAGGAGGTGGGGGGATGTGTAGCGGAGCGGGTTTTATTTTGTCCTGTGCTACATCAGGTAGACGGGGCGCTTGGTTCTGTTGACGGGGTGGGGCGCCCCGCTTGTGTCATGGTAGGAGAAACATTGATATATGTATAAATAATACTCTCTTGAGATTGTTAGCTTGAAAAATAAGCAACGTGCCAAAATCCATTTTGGTACACAGCAGAATCTAGGCATGAAAAGATATCCTGATCAAACATTTTGTTGCCAAGTCAAAACCCAAGAAGGCCACCACTAATAAATAAATAATTTATATATATATATGTGTGTGTGTGTGTGTGTGTGTGTGTGTGTGTGTGTGTGTGTGTGT